ACTTGATTTAAGAATTGACGACATTTGAAGTAACATTAATAGTGTATTAAAAAAACAAGGCAAGTGGGGCACCTGGGTGGCTCATTTGGTTAAGTGTCCGACTTCAGCTCAGGTCATGATCTCATGGTTTGTGGGTTCAAGCCCCGCATCGGGCTCTGTGCCGACAGCTCAGAACCTGGAGCCTGCTTCAGATTCTGTGTCTTTTTCCCGCTCATGCTCTGTCTCTCTCTCTCTCTCTCTCTCTCTCTCTCTCTCAAAAATAAACATTAAAAAAACAACAACAACAAGGCAAGTAATTTATAATGGTTTTCCTTGGCTCTTAATGAGTGAACAGATGTTATTGAGACTATTCAGTTGTTGTTTATTCAAGGTGTCCATGCCAGATTTGAAGTGGCAGAACAGTTAACCTCTGAATAGTCTGTGTGGAGAGCAACTACAGACGAGAATATTTGAAGTTGAGAAAACACTTAAGTACGATCTGAAGTGGAATCCGCTAAGATGTGCTACAACTGATGGTGGTAAAAATATGTGTGGAACAGAAAAAGGCTTAGTTGGACAACTTTACAAGGCTTGTACAAATGTGAGAGGTTCAAAGCTATGGTTATTTGTTGTGTTATTTATCAGTAGGTACTTTGCAGAAAATAATTTGAATTCATTCTGTGTTCTTGAATCAGTTTGTCAGTGGTGAACTTCATTTGCTCTCATGGATTTAACTAGCATCAGCTGCCTGAATTTTTGTTAGACATAGAGAAGCTGAATATCTTGACTGGCTTATTAGCAGTGGTAAATTTTTTTGCAATTTTTTGAGTTTAGGACGGAGATTGAAATTTTTCTGAATGAAGCAGATGGCCTTTAACCACTAGTCAAATACTGATTGGCTTTGAAATTAGCTTTTTCTGGAGATTTGGAAATATTTTTAAATAAATCAGACCTAAAATTATGAGGCAAAATAGTGCTTTCATGTGAAATTTAGCTGCAGTAAAGTCATTTCAGTGGGAACTGATGTTTGAAATCACAAGTAACATCAAGCTGCTTTATACATTTCTTATACTGTCAAAGTGAGATCTTCATTCCCATATGAATTTGCATGAATATATTTTTCATCATAAAATACATCTCCAGCAGCATTTTTCAGACATTGATGTAAGTGCAAAGAAAGTTTCCATATCTCAAAATCCATTTAATTGTGCATTTGAGGAACTTCTACCTAACCTTCAATTGGAAATGATTAATCTGTAGTGTAATAACACATTGAAAGGTAAATATCAAAGGAAGAATCCAAGAGACTTCTGTAGCTGCCTTCAAAGTAATGAATATACTCAATTAAAATCATATGCTTGTGGGTTGATTTCAGTATTTAGCAGTACCTATGCATCAAAACAACAACAACAACAACAACAACAACAACAAAACAGTTCAAAGATAAACACAAAACCTGATAAACATTATCAGTTGAGTATTTGCAATAAATTTTGATGATTGGAAACTCAAATTAAGTAAAATGTTACCACTCCCCAATTCCATTATTTTTCATTCACTGACTTCTATTTTATAACATTAAAAAGTATCATACTGTTATTATTATATCCTGAATTTATCAGTAAAAAGTTTGTAGTAAGTTTTTCTCTCTCATGTAAGTATCTACATGATTTTGCCTATTGGCCTGCAAAGACTGAAATACTTATGATTGGGCCCTTTTCAGAAAAGTTTGAGAACCCAGATTCTAAAGTAGTGCTTCTCAAACATGAGTGCACATAATAATTACCTCAGGGTCTTGTTAAAATGCAGATTCTGATTTGGTAGGTTTGGTATGGGACCTAAGATATTGCATTTCTTATAAGCATCTGAGGTGAGAATAGATGCTACTGGTCATTGACTGCATTTTGGGAAGCAAGGCTTTAGTATTCAAGGTTACATTTTTATTTAGATAAGTACACTAATATTTCTTATGCATCTATTATTTGTTATGAATTATACCAGGGGTTCTTGCATATATTGCTATTAAAATGTCATAAAAACTTGTTAGATGGTGTTAAAGACTATAATGAGGTTGGGACCCCTAGTAAGGAGTTTTGGTTAGAAACTAGTTGTTTGTTTGTTTGCTTTTCCTTGAGTGTATAGCTTCCTGTAGGACCTCATGGGGGAAGTGTTGAGGTCTAGAGGAAGCTATATATCTAAGAAACAAAAACAGTCGGAAACAAAATACATTATTAGTTGGTCAGGGTCAAAGCAGGGACTTAGGTTCTCATCTTCCTTGCTAAATTTCAGTGGGCCATCAACCCATTACTAAGCCAAAGAGTAGAAATAGTATATAGCACATAAATGTTTTGCAAATATTTTCTTCCTGTCTCTTGCTTGCCTTTTAATTTTTATGTTAAAATTTGAAGTCCTTTTTATTTATTTTTAAAAAATTATTTGTAAGAATTGTGATAAGGTGTACATAATATAATATTTACCATTTTAACCATTTTTTAGGTGTACAGCTCAGTGTCATTAAGTACATTCACGTTGTACCATCATCACCAACATCCATCTCCAGAACTTTTCTGTCTTCCCTAGTTGAAACTCTGTATCCATTGATCACTTAACTCCTCATTCCACCATGGCCCTCTCCCTCTGGCAACCACCATCTGCTTTCTGTGTCTGTGAATGTTACTATTTAGGAACCTCATATAAATGGAATTACATAGTATTTGTCCTTTTGTGTTTGGCTTATTTCACTTAGCATAATGTCTTCAAAGTTTATCTGTGTTGTGACCTCTGTCAAATTTTTCTTCATTTTTAATGCTGAATAATCCATTCTTTGCATATACTACATTTTGTTTATCCATTCATTCATCAGTGGACATGAAGGTTGCATCTACTTTTTGGCTGTCGTGAATAATGCTGCTATGAACACTGATGTACAAAGATCTATTCCAGTTCTTGCTTTCACTTTTGTTGGGTGTATATATACTCAGAAGTGGATTTTCTGGATCATATGGTAATTCTATGTTTAATTTTTTAAGGAACTGCTATATGGTTTTCCATAGTGGCCGCACCAGTTTATATTCCCACTAGCCGTGCACAAGGGTTCAAATTTCTCCATATCCTTTGTAATGCTTGCTATTTTCTGTTTTATCGTAATAAGCATCCTAATGCATGTGAAGTGATACTTCATTGTGGTTTTGATTTGCCTTTCCCTAATGATTGATATTGAACCACTTTTCGTGTACTTACTGGCCAGTTGTATTTCTTTGAAGAAATGTTTATTCATATCCTCTGCCCATTTTTAAAATTGGGTTGTTTGTTGTTGGGCTGTTTGTTTTTTGTTGAGTTGTAAGATTTATTTCTGGATATTAGTCCTTTATGAGGTATATGATTTGCAGATAATTTTCTCCCATTCTGTTGGTTGTTTTTTTGGCTTTTTTGATAGTGTCCTTTGATACACAAAAGTTTTTAATTTTGATGAATTACAACTTACATATTTTTTCTTTTGTTGCCTGTGCTTTTGGTTTCGTATCTGAGAAATCACTGACAAATCCAAGATCATGGTGCTTTCCCCTGTTTTCTACTAAGAATCTATAGTTTTGGGTCTGTATATGCAAATGTGAGATCCCTTGGATATCAAGAAGGAATAGGATGAAAAGCAAAAATTGAAGGCTTTAGCTTTTTAAACATAGTTACCTTTTTGAGTTGAAAGAAAGAAGAGTGGGCAGGAAAGATATATTTAGGTACAGAGATGCAAGTAAACATGGTAGGATAGTCCTTATCCATCTAGTCTTATGGCCAGATAAAGATGAAAGGTAAGGAAAGGAATTTTAAAAGATAAGATCTATAGGAATAATTGTTAGCCTTTAAGATAGAGGAATGCCAGAGTATGTGGAAGGGGTCTAGAGTAGTTTGAAAATGTCCACATGTGATTTGGGATTCTGATAGTATTTTCCTTGTTCCTTTTGAGAACCACTCATTTAATATTAGTTCTAAGGTTTTATCAGTAGAGAATTGACAGACATAAATAAAAGAATTTTACAAGTTTAATTACACTTTAGTTAGAGTTTGTGGTGCTTTAGTCTACATACTAACAATTGCATGAGGATGTTAATTTTTCCCCCTTAATTCTCCAGTGATTGTTTAGTATAGATGTTACTTCAATGATCTTTTTAATATATGTATGTTTTTCATGTAGTTGATAGAAACTGAAAACTATCCAATGTCCAAAAAATCTTTGCGATGTGACAGTCAAAAGAATTCTTCCCGGTTGAAAATATAGTCAGGTATAAGGTATATATAAACAAAATAATTACTAATGTTACTTAGTGTCAATTCTGTATAAGCTAAGAATAGGGAGATTTTACTAGGAGGGTGGTGTTTTCAGACTGTGGACCCATGGTCCATTAATGGCTCATGAAATCAATTTAATAGCTCACAACCAGTGTTTTCTCTTTTCTAATAGACAAATAGAAAATAATCGAGTGCACTGCATGTGGTAAGAAGTATTTGTAGAATTTTTTAAAAAGTGTATTTATTTATTTATTTTGAGAGAGAGAGAGAGAGAGAGAGAGAGAGAGAGAGAGAATATGAATGAATCCCAAGCAGGTGCCACGCTGTCAGTACAGAGCCTGACGTGGGGCTCGATCTCACGAACTGTGAGAGCATGACCTGAGCTGAGATTGAGTCAGACACTTAACCAACTGAGCTGAGATTGAGTCAGACACTTAACCAAAAGGCACCCCCGGAATTTTTCAATATATGTATGTATATGTCTGTGTACTGATGTGTGGAAAATATATTTCTAACTGTGGATTGCAGTCAAAATTGTTGGAAATCCACTGTAGATTGTTTTGTTAAATGAGTGTGGGACAGGACAAAAATTTTAAAGTCTCTCTCATCTGTTTGTAGAATTGATTCATTAAGTTTATATTGACATCTCAACTAACCGTGTCTATGTATTTGTGTTTGTGTGTATATGAAGATATATATGTGTATGTTTTTTTTTTGTTTTTTGTTTTTCCTAATAGTTGCAATGGATGAGCTTCATAGTCTGGATCCAAGAAGGCAAGAATTATTGGAAGCTAGATTTACAGGAGTTGCAAGTGGGAGCACTGGAAGCACTGGCAGTTGCAGTGTTGGAGCAAAAGTGAGTAAGATTGTAATCTTCATTTGACATTCTTTCCTTGTATTAAATGGTCTAAAATATATTTTGTAAAGGATCCCTACATATGTGCTTAAAAGCAAATTATTACTTACTGTAATTTTTATAATGTATAGGGAAAAAGTATTTATAAATCTGATTTTTAATACAGCATAACATGCTTTGGGGGCATTATGTTATATATATATATAATATATATGTGTATACATAATATATATGTGTTAATATATATACGTTAATATATGTTGTTATAGCTTAATAGGTTTCAGGAGTAAAAATGAGTTTAGTAGATTGTAGTTCTTTTCTCCCATTATATAATTTTTATTTTTCCTGTCCTTTATCTCTTCCTTGCCCCTGTCACCCTTGTTCCTATCTGTATATGTTCTTATTTGTACAGCAGATAATACAAATAAGTGTATCTGGGGACGCCTGGGTGGCTTAGTCAGTTAAGCATCTACCTTCGGCTCAGGTCACAACTTGCAGTCTGTGAGTTTGAGCCCTGCGTCAGGCTCTGTGCTGACAGCTCAAAGCCTGGAGCCTGCTTCAAATTCTGTGTCTCCCTCTCTCTCTCTGTCCCTTCCCCACTTGTGTGTTCTTTCTCTCTCTCTCTCTCTCAAAAATAAACATTAAAAAAAAATTAAGTGTATCTGTTCGGCCTTCCAGTGATAGACATCAGGTTGTCTTCAGCTCCCCATTACCTCACACGGTAGTAACTTTAATGTACTTGTTCTCTTATGGACCTTTCTGATCATTTATTGAGGTTATGTTCCCAGGAGCAGAACTGCTCTGTCATAGGGTATGTATAGAGTTAAGTTGAATAAATAGTATAAGATTGCTATTCAGAGCAGTTGTATACAACTAATCTGTACTTTCAACAGAATGCATGAGCATTTATATAACCCTACATCTCAGAAACATTTGGCATTATCTGGATTCTTCATTTTTGATAGTGTTTAACAGGTATCTCAATAGTATCTCATTTTTTCACTCATACCACCAGTTATTTTGAACATTTCTTTTATATGCTTGTTGGCTTTTTGGGAGTCTCTTATAAATTGTTCCAATAAGGATTAGTGATTACTTTTTCAAACTGAACTGATTTTCCCATGTTCTTTGTATATTCTACATAGCAATTCCACGTTAGTTGTATACAGTGCAGATAACATTTCCCATTTTGTCATGTCTATCAACTTTGTTCATGGTATCCAGCATTGTACAGGATCATTGTAGAGGATTCTTTAATTTTGTTATAATCAAACTTACCAATTTTTTTTTTGCCTTAGAGCCTATAACTGTAAAGTTTTAAATAGCTGTTGGTATACTACGAAACATAGTCCTCATCATGAACCATCTGGTCAAATAGGTGTTTTTGCTATTTTTACATTTTAAGTTATTTTGCTATTAATTTATAGCAGGAATAAAAGTATAATGAAAAACAACTTTATTAGAAATTTCAGTAAGAATTTAAACATACTAAAAAGCTCTTTGTGTCAAGTAAATCTTGGTGCACAAGCAGCACAGGCATCATAAAGGATGAAGGATATTGTCATGCATCCTTTGAGCATGAAGTGGTCCACGTTCCTGTAGAAGAATATTATATGATGAAATTCTTCAGTTAAATGACTGATGAAAATTCTGTTTCCTTTTTTTCCTTAGAAATGTGTTATCTGATTCATTGATTATTGAATTTGGGAAAATTCATCTCGGGTAATAACATTCAATGACTGAGATTTTATATGGTCATTGCCATCAGTTTTAGAATCTAGAGGTGTTATCTCTTTGTTTTCTGATTTGTCTTATAATTAATTATAAAATGTCTTCTGTCATTTTCTTCTCTTGACCATCTTGGGTGGAAGATGAAAATTTCTTGATTCTCCACTGGAGTCAGTGCAATCTAAAATCAGTCTGCAGTGATGTCTCCAGTCTTTCATACGTTCTTGGAAGATGGTGCAGTACTTTGGGCAAGACAAGAAGATAACTGAAAGATGATAATTTATTTCACTATTGCGTCACTCTTTTAGGTCATTAACTCTGTATTGTTTTTCTATTTCTACCGTAAAAAATTACCAGAGTTGCTTAAAACAACAGACATTTATCTTCTTAAAAGTTGTGAAGGTCAGAAGTCTGACATTGGTCTCATAGGGTTAGAATCAAGGTGTGTGGAGGACTGGATTCCTTCTGTGGAGGCTCTAGGTGGGGATAATTTTCGCTGCCTTTTCTAGCTTCTAGAGCCTGCCTAAATTTCTTGGCTGGTGGTCTCCTTCCTCCGTCTTCAAAGCCAGCAGTCATACATCTCTCTCACTGTTCTTTGGAAGTCACATCTCCCTCTGATCAGTCTTGAAAGGTTCTTCACTTAAGTATTCATGTGATTAGAATTGGGCTCATGCCCATGTGGATAGTCTGGCGTAATTTCCCCAATTCAAAGTTCTTACCCTTACATGTACAAAGTCCTTTTTGCCATATAAGGTAACATTCACAGGTTGTAGGGATTAGGGTGTGAGCATCATTGGAGGTTCATTATTCTGCCTATCGTATCATCATTCTATTTTTTTAATGATTTTTGGTTGTTTCAGCATAGTTGGGAATAATTGATGAACAATGGTGAGTAATGATGAAGTAATTCGAGGATGATGTAATAACAAAATATAGGAAAAATTAGATCCATAAGATCACATAATGTATTTTAAATTTGTGACAAGGTCCATTGGATGTTTGGTGATTAATGACCAGATAGAATGCATTTTATTCTATTAAAAATAAATTTTATTTTTATGCTTTGGATGAGCTCTGAGAAAGAATAAAAGTCCCAAAGTACCAATTTTTACAAATAGCTAGAACTACTCAAAAAAAGCTCAAACACTGAAATTGGGTCCAGTGGACCATGAAGTATTTTAAGAGTTAAATACATCTTCCCCACCCCTGGGCTACAAAGATAATTCTACAGATTCTTCTGTTAATTTTATAGTTTTACTGTCATATTTGCACTTTAGGCCCTATCTTTTATATAGTATTGATAGGGCCCAGTTTTATTTTTCACCATCTAGTGAACCAGTTTTCTCCACAAGACTTCTTAAATCATCCGTATTTTTCCATTGATTGGTGATGCCACCGTTATCGTGTATGTTAAGTTGCCATGTCTTTAGGTGAATCTGTCTGAGGTTTCTCTTACATTCTAGTGGTCTGTGTTCCTGTCCCAGTATCACATTAAAAAAAAATACTGTTGTATTTTTGTATGGTTTTTTTTTATATGGTAAAGCAAGTCTCTTCTTTAATCTTCTTTTCTAAGGTTGAGTTAGTTATTTATGGATCTTTATTCCCTCATAAAAAATTTGAGTATCTCTTCACTTGCTTGTTAACATTTGGGAATTTTTATATAATGGTTTATTTGTATTTTTATCCTTAAAAGATTCAAGTAGAATTCTTATTTTGAATACATTGAATTTATAGATTAATTGAGGGAGGAAAGAGAAGGAGAAAGAGTAAAGAGAAAGAGGGAGAGAGAGAATCCTAAGAGGGCTCTGCACTGTCAGCGTGGAGCCCATTGGGGGCCTCAAACTTAGGAATTGTGAGATCATGACCTGAGCTGAAGTTGGATTGATTAACCAACTGAGCCACCCAGGTGACCTTGGAGGTTTTTGAGTTTTATAGTTTGGTCTTGTACGTAGCAGTCTTGTTGTTGTTTGTTTGTTTGTTTGTTTGTTTGTTTTTGGTTGTAACAGTGTGTTGATTCTCTAACAAATAATATTCTTTCAAAAATCATTTTATTTCTTACACCTCATATATGTATTTTTTCTTTTTATTGGTCAGGGCCTTCAGAAATGGAAATCCTCTATATTGTTTTGAGTGGTATTTATACCACATAAGCAGCTGTCAAATCTGAAAGGAGGGAAAAGCTTTATTTGTAATTTTCAAAATATTGTAAGCAACCCAAATGTTCCTCATCTAAGAAATGGATTAAAAAGTGTGATATATATATTTGTACAATGGAATACTATTTAGCAGTTGATGACGACCTGCAACAACATGGATGAATCTCAAATGGATGCATTATGCTGACTTTTAAAAGAAGCCAGATTCAAAAGGCTACATATTATAATGCTTATTCTACTTTTTTTTTTTTTTTTTTTTAAGTAAGCTCTATCCCCAATGTGGGGCTCACACTCACAATCCCAAGATGAAGAGTCACATGCTCCAACTACTGAGCTAGCCAGGTGCCCCACCTTTATTTCCTTTTTAACACAAGGATTATTAATGTGGGATGTTTTAAGCTATTCTTTTGTTGCGGATTTCTAATTTATTGCATTACATTTTGAAAATACAGTTTGTATGACATTAATTTTTGAAGTGCGCCCTATTTTATAAACACTTCATATCTAATAACTCTTAATTTTATTTGTTCAGATCTTAGATATTTCCTTGTATTGTCAGCTTGACCTTTTCCCTGAGTGGTGTATTAAAATCATTAGCCGTATAAGGAATATAGTCAGTGGTATTGTAATAGCATTGTATGGTGACAGATGGCAGCTACACTTGTGGTGACCATAGCGTAACATATAGAGTTGTCCAATCCTATGTTGTACACCTGAAACTGATGTAACATTGTGTGTCAACTGCACTTCAATAAAAAAAAAAGATCATTAACTGTGATTATTGATTTATGTATTTCAGCTTGCAGTTTATCAACATTTGCTTAATATTTTGAGGCTATATTTTTACATGCATACATCTTATTCTGTTCTTTTTATAACTAATTATTTTTTCCTTAATTATTTGTTTTTTTCAAATCTTACTATTTTCGGCCTTCTTTTGGTTCATTTTTGTCTTAGATATATGGGTATATGTTTTTCTATTTTATTTTTACTCGTTTTAATTGTATTTCTTTTAGACCACATGTCTTTTTTTTTTTTTTTTTTTAATGTTTGTTTAGTTTTGATAGCAGGGAAGGGGAAGAGAGAGAGGGAGACACAGAACTGAAACAGGCTCCA